GGGGTTGCAATATGGCTTTTTATTCCTGGCTCCTCCCTTTCCAGCCTCCTCTTTAAATTTCTGCTCATCCGTCGTTTCCCATCAAAGCCGCTGGTGGTCTGTGCTAATATGCCTCCCTTGAGGTGGGTTTCCAGAATTGAATTTGAGCTTTAGTAGGAACTGTGGGGAGCTTGTCAGCTGTTTACAGAGGGAGAAACAGCCTGAGCTGGTCCCTGAACCCCAGTCCCCTCTCCTCGGGTCCAGTGCTCCCTGTTATTGGTCAGGCTCTGGGCCAGGAGCAGTTTTCAATACATAAAACCAGGATGCAAACATATTAACTTAACGTGAGATACCAGAATAGTCTACGTTCGTATGCCCAGTGCGTTCTTTTCCAAAATTCCTGTTGCTTCCATTTCCCAGAACTATGGTAGTGACGTTGGCACGCTAGGCTTTGAATTCATAATCACTAACCTCACTGGGACTCTAACGTTGCCGGTCAGACCAGATTTCCCTGATCTGTTCCCCTCTGCGTGTCCTGGATGACTGTTTGCCACCTTCTCCTCCTTTGACATCTTTCTGTCCCACTCAAAAGCTGATGAACTTCTTGTTTCACCAAGGAAATAGAATTGGAAAACTTCCATAAGTTACCACCGTTCCTTCTTCCCACCTACCTCTCCTTCCGTCCTATTATAATGAATAAATTCTCCATATTCCTAGCAAAATCCAGACCCTCCACTTGAGTCCTAAATCCCATTCCTTCTCACCTTAAGAACATCACCCCAGTAATTCTAAACTTTTTATATTTTCCCTTTTTCTCGCTCTGAGAGCTTTTTCCCCTAATAGCGTAGAAATGTGGTTCTCGCTCCCCCCCTTTTTTTTTTAAATGTTTATTTGTTTTGAGAGAGAGTGTGTGAGCAGGGGAGGGGAAGAGAGCAAGGGAGGTAGAATCCCAAGCAGACTCTGTCTACACTGTCAGCACGGAGCCTGATGCGAGGCTCAAAACTCAGGAGCCACAAGATATGACCTCAGCGGAAAACAAGAGTCTGATGCTCTACTGACTGAGCCACTCAGGCTCCCCTTGCTCCTCTTTTAAAACATTCTAGGGGCGCCTGGGTGGCGCAGTGGGTTGGGCGTCCGACTTCAGCCAGGTCACGATCTCGCGGTCCGTGAGTTCAGCCCCGCTACTGGGTTTCATGATGGTGCCTGAGCCTGGAGCCTGTTCTGTGTCTCCCCTCTCTCTGCCCCTCCCCGTTCATGCTCTGTCTCTCTCTGTCCCCAAAAAAATAAATAAAAACGTTGAAAAAAAAATTAAAAAAAAAAACATTCTATTGACCCCCCCCAATTCCAATTCTTTCCTCCCCAATTACACCAAACCCCCTCGAAAGGGTTGTCTATATTTGCTGTCTTCATTTTTCTCCTCCCTCAGCCCATTTCAGGAAGCTTTTTCATCCCCAGCACTTTGCTGAAACTGTTCCTCTCAAGGTCACCAGTGACCTTCACCTAGCTAAAGTCGGGTGAATTTTCAGTCCTCGTCTCAAATTAGCAGCATTTGACGGTCGTGTCCTCTTTGAAACACGTTTTTCTCTTCGCTTCTCAGACACTACACCTGGTTGTTTTCTTACCTTGGTTGTCACCGCTTCTCAGCTCGTCCTGAGCCCCAGACGGGCCCCTTAGTCATCTCAGCTGGTCTCGTGGTTTTTCATCCCATGTGTTGCTCGTGATTCCCAGGTGTGTACATCTTAGCCCAGACCTCTTGCAGAACTGCAGGCTGGTCTATCCTACTGCCAGCTGAATATTTAATTGGCATCTCAAACTCCATGTGTCTAAAAGCCAAGCTCCTGTATGTCCTCACGGTACTTCCTCTGCTGTCTTCCTCACCCTTCCAGGGGCTCAGGCTGAAAACAGCCTCATCCTTGACTCCTTTGTTGCTTCGCATCAGCGAGTCCCACTGGCCTTACGCTCAGGATGCTTCCCATCTAGAGCCAACCACTTCTTCCCCACCTCCGCTGCCACCACCTTGATCCCAGCCACCATCACCTCTCACCTGCATTTTGCCATAATTCTCTCTCTCTCTGTCTCTCTGTCCCTCTCTCTTTTTTTGAGAGAGAGAGACAGAATGAGTCTTCAGCAGGCTCCACGCTCTTCGCACAGCCACGTGTGGGGCTCGATCTCATGACCGTGAGATGGTGACCTGAGCCTAAATCAAGAGTCAGACGCTTAACCAGCTGAGCCACCCAGGCACCCTGCCATGATTATCTTAATTGGTCCTTCTGAATCTGCCCTTGTCCTCTTTAGTCTATGCTTAACACAGCATCCAGAGTGATCCTGTTCTGTCCAGACTCTCTAGTGATTTTCCAAGTTACTCAGAGTGTTAACCAGGGTAATTACAGTGGCCGGCAATCTGCACCTTCTTGACCCTTCGGCTCATCTTCTGTCTCCTTCCTCCCTATGTTCCAGCCATAGCGGCCTTGCTGGTCTTGCTTCTACCTCGGGATCTTTGCTTGAAAGCTCTTTCCCTGAATACTGCACGCCTCACTTCCGGTCTTCACTCACTGAAGCCTGCTCTAATCGTTGTGTTGAAAAATACCAACCCCTGATCCCTTCCCCGGCTTTATTTTTCTACACAGCACACGTAACCGTCTAACATCCTACAGATTTTTACTTACTTGTTTTCTGTCTCCAATAGTAAGCTTCGTGGAGACCAGGATTCTTCTGTTTTGTTCACTGCTGTAGTCTCATGCCTGGAACAGTGCCTGGCCCTAGTGGGTGCTGAATAAATATTGATTGAATAAATAGAGGATTATTTTCACTTTTCAAGGGGAAGGCTGCAAGCAATGAACTGAGTTCTTACTCATCCAGTTTTCCTTCCTACAGTGGTAGAGCTGTGCATTCTGTATGGACAGAATGAAGAGAAAATGGCCACTGAGCTTATAGCCTTCTGCACCAGCATAAGTAACGTTCGCCTGACCTCAGAGATCCTGAGCTCTTTTGAGCATGAGGTAAGAACAAAATGTAAGGAAACTAATCCTGAAATTCGCTATTTTTGCTCTTGAGGGAAGGCGTTGGGATGTATCGAGAAGCACAGGCTGTAGAATCAGGTCTGGATTCTGGTCCCAATGTGCACTTGGGCAAACTATAGAACGTGTTTCTGGGCCTCCGTTTCCTCTTCTGTTAGTGGTTCTAATCACCCATATTTTTTACGGTTATTGTAAGAATTACATGAGAGTGGGTATAAATCACCTAAAACTGTATGTCAGGTGGTAGGTCTTCAAACCATTGGTTTTGTTACTAGAATTAAGTTCTTAGAAACAAACAGTCACGGGATAACTGTTCCTTTTTAGTCTATCCTGCATCCTCATAATTCTTACTTTGAGGAATTTTAGATATATGTGATTACGTTTTGAACGCCTACTTCACGGCTGTGAAAAACACTTTCTCTGTTACTTGACTACACAATAATATATATTCATTATCTTTTATTCCTCAGTGTCTGAGCAAAAGATTGCCCAAAGCCTCGCACAGAGCCTCCGGGGATGGTGGGCACGCAGGAGCTAGAGACATTGTTTCCATACAAGAACTGTATCCTTTTCTGCCCAAGGTCTTTGCATCAAGCCACATGCTGTGTTTCATAATTTGTGTAATTTTAAAACAAATAGTAGGGGCACCTGGAGGGCCCAGTCAGTTGAGGATCCGACTTCAGCTCGGGTCATGATCTCGCGGTTTGTTGGTTTGTGGGTTCGAGCCCTGCATCGGATTCTGTGTCTGCCTCTCTCTCTCTTTGCCCCTCCCCGACTTGTGTATATGTGTGCACGTGCTCTCTCTCTCTCTCTCTCAGAAATAATAAATGAATAAACTTAATAAAATAAAAACAAATAATAAAAAGTACGTACTGGGGCGCCTGGGCGGCTCAGTTGGTTGAGCGTCCGACTCTTACTTGGTTCAGGTTATGATCCCAGGGTTATGGGATCAAGCGCCGCGTCAGGCTCTGCATTGAGCACGGAACCAGTTTGGGATTTTCTCTCTCTCTCTCTCTCCCTCTGCCCCTCCCCTCTCCTCCACTGGCTGTCTCTCTAAAATAAAAAAAAATTTTTTTTAAGTACCTACTATTTAGACTTCTTATCTAATCAACCATCGCCTTAGATTTTGGTTGTTTTCCTTAAACACTTTTTTTTAGAATTGAAGTGGAGGAAGAAGAAGAGACCCTCTTGAACTCTTACACCACACCCTCTAAGGTGAGTATAGTGTTTGGAAATGCTTTCTACAAGTAGCATTTTTTTTTTTTTT